TTTGTAGTTCTTTGTGTAGGTAAGAAGTGAACTAAAGAGTAAGGTAGATTTCCATGAGCACCTTATTTTATACAATCCATAAAACCACCAATCATTTAAAGAGTTTGCTTATTCGTTATTTTTCTATTTGTATGTGTAATTATGGCTGTTAATATTGCAGATATCTTTCCCAACAGAATCCTCATCTAAACCAGAACGCATGGAATAACTTGGAGAAATATTGTCGCTCCCTCACCAAGCATTACCAGAATGTCTTTGTGTGCACTGGACCACTCTACTTACCCCGGTAAAAGCCTCTCAGTATGCTCTTGAGGAGCACTGCTCGAGATATTTCAAATTAGCCTGAAATCAAGATATGCCAAACTATTTAATCAACTGATATTTTAATAAATTGATAGAACCTAATTTTTCCCTCCCTGCACCTACAGACAGGAACCTGATGGGAAAATGTATGTGAAGTATCAGGTTTTGGGAAAGAACCATGTAGCCGTGCCGACTCACTTCTTTAAGGTGGTGATTCTGGAAAAGCCAAGAGGAGACGTGGAGCTGCGGTCCTATGTGATGCCCAATATGCCGGTCGATGAGAAGATTCCACTGGAACGCTTCCTGGTTCCCATCGAGAGCATTGAGAGAGCGTCTGGACTGCTGTTCGTACCAAACATCATGAAGAGGACCAGCAGTCTGAAAGCCATTACTGCAGGCTAGTGAGGAGTCTACAGTGATTACTGAGGGGGAATGGAAAATACCTCAAAAAGTTTCATTATGTCACTGTCAAGCATTTATAAAGTTACCAGGGAAATTATTTAATTTTCAATATATGTGAAAAGACTACTGAGAGAGATATATCAGTCACTGGCACAGGCTGACAGTCTAATGCTGTAGCCTATTGTTTAATAGGGGAGCTTTTTGTATCATTACTGTTTTTAGATGTCAGCCAATATGATTTTTAACCAAGCCAAAACTCTGTGAAATTAGATTTTAATATCAACTGTGAAATGTCATTTGTACTACTGGAAATAAAACAAATCTGTAATCCTTAAATCATGTGTTTTTTATTCACATTTGATGATGATGATTCAGAAATGAATGGTATTTAGAAACAATATCTGTTTTAATCCTCTCAAAATAACCTAAATTCATGATTGTCAACACATTAAAACTGCACAAGCCCATAATTTACCACATAATTGAACTATATACCCAAGTATACAATCTACAGTGTGTATGAGGCAACAGGCCTGGAAATAAGACATCTTCAAGGACAAATTTAGTTGAAGTTAATGGGCATTTAGAAAGACAAAAAACACTGAATATGACTACTGGTGAAGTACCAGCGAAGTTCTCACCCAGCATTAAATATTAGTTTGTTTATATGTTTTTGCCACAGAAACTTAGTATACAGTCTGTGATAACCTGCAAAATTTTAATATACTTTTAATATACTGTTTTGCTGGGACAAAACAGCCTACAAAACTAACTAACTATCATATCTGGTTCATTTTAAAGGGGAAATTGTTTTCCAAACTGAAGGCAGATTAACTTGTGACACATGTTTTGTTTCGTGTCTCGAGCATCAGTGACGAACATTTGCTGGGCAGCGACATTCATCAAACCAGTCATTCTTGAGAAGTGGGACAAAACAGGGTGCAAAAATTGAAAAAATTAAACCTTGTACTCAGACAAATGAAACTACATTTATGTATCTTATA